GTGGTGATGGTGATGAGGATGATGGTCGGAAGATGGGGATGATGGTAGTGATGGTGCTGATAGTAATGATAGTGATGAGGGGCCACGAAAGCACAGACTATGATGGACTTTAGGAGAAGGAAGGTTGTGATGACTGAACATTTCTTGGTCTTGTGGCACCGGCACTTGGCCACCAGGTTCCTGGTTTGTTTGTTGAGGAAGATGCTGATGAAGAAGAACACCAAGGCGGGACCCCCATTGGTTATCCGCCCATATTGGTAGTTCAAGCCTGGTGTGCACGGACAGTGGAAGGCAAACAAGGAGAATAGCTCCTGGCCACTTGTAGTGACCAGGGCAACTAGCCCATTGAAGCTCACCCAATCATTACTCTTGAAAAAGAATGACAGGAAGCGGACGCTGGGGTTAGTCATGGTGTCAGGTCAAGGGCTGCACTCATAAGTGCAGGCTGGTGGGCGCCTGGCAGCAGGGCTGGGCTGGGCTATCCTGTTCTCGGTGGTGGCTGCTGGGCACCTCCTGTAGGAAAGCAGGAGACAGAAGCATGTCTACTCACTGGCTGTCAGGCCCACAATTTACCTCCGGGCGCCATCTTAGCCCACCAACAGCCCTGGCCCAGAGACAAAGCAGCAAGTCCCAGAAGGAACCACAGTGCCGGAGATCTCTTTGGGTCCCATACCGAGCCAATTTCACCGGGACACCCCAGACGGAGCTTGTGTCCTCTCCCTGCCTATTCCAGGTGGAAACCCGGTGACCAAAAGCTTACACAAGGAAGGCCCAGGCGTGCGTGTTCCAGGACTACTGCAGGTCGCATGGTGGCAAAGGACCCAGGCTAACCCCCCCCCCCCCGCCAGGTCCCCACCTGCCCCAGAGACTGGCAGTCATGCTCACAATTTGCCTCCAGGTGCCATCTTAGCACACCAAGGGCACTGGCCCAGTAAGGCCCCACTGAATCCCAAAATGGATGAGTGCCCTACAGAGATGTCTTTGGAACCCAACTATTTCCAATCTAGAAATTTGCATTTACAATTGCGGCCATGCCAGCTCTCATGATATTCAAAATGAGCAATGGAAAATAAATTATCTAGCTTCTGCCCCTGACAGACAGGCTTGAATGGTGGTGGGAAATTTCAAGCAAAACATAATGCCCCAAATTAGAGAGAAAGTATTGGGGAAATTGTCTGCCATAGAGGCAGGGTGAGAACTGGGATGTGGGTGATGGAATATGTGCACTGGTGGAGGAACGGGTGTTCCGTCACCGTATGGCTGAGTCACAAATGTGAAAGCTTTGTAACTCTATCTCACGGTGATACAATTAAAAAAAAAGTAATTTGTAGTTTATGCCCAAACCAATCAGCTTAATCAATGATTGAAAAAAATAGCAGTACTCCTATGTAGCTGTTAGAAAAGATGAAGTCATGAAATTTACATACAGGTGGTACAACATGGAAAGTATCAATCTAAGCGAAATGAGTCAGAAAGAGAGGGATAGACATAGAAAGATTGCATTCATCTGGGGGATATGAAGTAACAATGTATGAAATTAATACCCAAGAATAGCTGAGATCAGCACCAGGAGGATTACTCCATAACTTAGAGGCCAGCCGGGTATCCTAGAGGAAAGGGCAGTTCAGATAGAGAAGGGAGCACCAAATAAAGGATGTTTGGAGGATCCTCCCAGGAGGGGAGATGCATGTCGAAAGTAGACTATGGACTGAACATGTTTGCCACTCAATGCCTGTTTTGCAGACCACAACACCCAAAAGGAGAGAGATAACACAGGGGATTGCCCTGCCACGGAGGCAGGGGGGGATGGAGGGAATGGGAGTGGAAGGGATATTATCCATAGTGGTGGAAAATGGGCACTGGTGGAGGGATGGGTATCCCATTGTATAATCAAAACCCAAGCACAAATAATTGTAAATCTACAACTGTACCTCATGGTGTTTCACTAATAAAAAAAATTTAAAAAATAGCAGTAGTCCTATTTTATTAAAAAAAAAATGTCTGTTCTGAACCCAAATTCCAGGGGCAGCTCTGAGGGTCGGCCAGAAGGGGCTATTCTCTCCACTGCAAAGAGCAGGAGATACCCCCAGGAAAAACTGGAGCATGGAGTGGGGGATTTGGCTTTGAGGTAGAGCTCAGGCCTCTTCCCTGTGAAGACCGGAGTTCACCCTCCACCCCTGCAAACTGCAAATATGGAGGTGCCCTGGCAGGCCTTTTGAGCACGATCTAAGGAGGCTTGGGTGGTGGGTGAAGTGAATTTTCCGTCTCTGCTGACCTTATTCTTTGCTCACGCGGAGGGCCTAGGGAACCTTCTATTCCCTGTCTCCCCATCATTCTCTCCATCTCTGAGAGGAAAAAACAAAGTCCTCAGGTTGTGGGGTGGGGGAGCAGACAGGTAGGGTATCACCCAGAGTTGCCCCAAGGGGGTCCCTCTCTATACGTGCACACCGTCTGCTTACTGCCAAGACTTCCAGACGGGCTCGGGCTGAACTCACTGTCGGGGAGAGATCGGACCCCTCATCCTGATGGAAGGTGGGTGGTCTGTTTCCCAGAAAAGGGAGTTTGTGGGGATGCCAGAGCTGGAGCCTGCCAGACCCTTCTCTCCGCCTCAGCCCTTCTTGGCTTTCAGGCTCCCGGGAGCACAGATTCTGGGTGCAAAGTGCCCAAGTAGGGTTCCAGAGGCCACTGGTGGGGGAAACTGAGGAGGAACCAGGTCCTCTTCTGAGACCACATCCCAGGCCAGCAAGGGGAACCTCCAGATTTCTCCAAAAAAAACCAGGTGGTTGGAAGGGAGGACCAACCTGACTGCTGTAGTTCAACTGGCGACTTGCTTACCGAGAGCTCCCAGACAGGACAGGTGGCCTGAGTTGTGGAGGCCTTCGGCAGTGCCCTCGCCTTCCTGCTTTGCTTTTGTGCTGGATCTGGGTGACTTCAGAAAGTTTTGTTCCAGAAAAGAGGAGGCCAGCCGATTGATGACGTACATGGCGGCCCCTAATTGGGAAATTTGCAGGGGGGAGGGTGAGGAGCAGGGGTGTGGGACGGAGGGAGGGAGGGGGGACTCTTCGGTTTACACTCTAAGGTCTCAGAAGGTCAGGGCCATGCCCACCCACCTGTGGGACGCTCACCCCACCATGCAGAGCTGCCCCAGCTGGGAGGGAGGAAAATGGCACGAAGATGGCAAAACTTTCTGCCTCTCCCTATGCTGCCCTGGCTGATTCATCTTCCCAGGAGGTCGCACCCCAGTTCCAGCTAACTCTGGTGTTGTTTCACACCTCAGGTGGAGGGCCCCGAGAGATAATACTGCAGGTGGGCACTTTTCTGGCATAGGCACAACCAGGGGTTCAAGCCCTGGCATCATAATTAGTCCCCTGAGCCTCACCAGGAGTCAGCTCTGAGCACAGAGACAGGAGTAAGCCCTTAGCTTTGCTGGGTCTGATCAGGGTCTCATAACTGGGGTTGAGGGGACAACAAAATCTTAGGTGGAGGGAAAACAAACAAAAAGCAGCACCTAAGGGTCTGGGAGACGTGCATTTGCCGGGTGAGCTGAGGGGAAGGTTTTGCAGGAGTCCTGGGGTGCGGTCCTCAGGGCAGCTCGCTTTGTATGGTCCCAGAGGCATCTCCGAGAGCCACCCCTGAGCACCAAACTGGAAGTAAACCCTGAGTACAACTGGTGCGGCAGTTGCTCCCAAACTAACCAAACCAAAGGTAGAACTCAAATCTCAGGACTGCTGGGTAGGAACTTCAGAATGTGGGACCCTGAGCTCTGAGGGCATCAGTGAAAGAATTTGGAGAAGGATGGTTTTCTTTTTTCCCCCCCATACCCAGCTGACTCCATGCCTTCCATTTGGATCAGGGATGACCCCTGGCATATGTGGTCCAGGGTATCAAACCCAGGTGAGCCACATGCTAAGGCAAGAGCCATACTCTCTGTACTATCTCTCCAGCCAGTGTTTACATTATTTATTTATTTTACAGAGATGCATGTACATTCATCGTCCCTCCTGGAGAGTCCAGCAAGCTACTGAGAGTATTCTGCCCGCACAGCAGTGCCTGGAAGCTCCCCATGGCATACTCGATATGCCAAAATAAAGAACAATAATGGGTCCATTCCCATGACCCTGAAAGAGCCTACAATATGGCATCATTGGGAAGGACAAGTAAAAAGAGGCTGCTAAAATCCCAGGGCTGGGATGAATGGAGATGTTCCTGGTGCCTGTTTGAACAAATGGATGAATAATGGGATGACAGTGATACGGTGATTATTTTTTTACAAATTTTATATATTTTATTTTCATAAAGTAGTTCACAATAGTTCATTGCAGGCAATATTCAAACACCAATCCCACCACCAAGCACCTTCCCAACTCAAGAGGAAAATGTGTGAGGGTTGTTCTCTTTCAATTCTGGAGCCATTTAAGGCTGAATATAAGAGAATACAAGTAAGTATGTTCAATCCAAACTAATGTGTGCGACTTTGGCTATGTTAGTGGGCTAGAGTATCAGAGGTCAAGCAGCTGCATTAGGAAATTCTCAGACCCTCTCTACCAGGAACTTTAGTTTGTAGTTTCTGGATCTTGGCCACTGATGAGATTACATGTTGGCAGGGGCAGTTTGTGGGTGTGACTGCCAAGCTACTGGAAAACGGGGGAGGTGGGAGGAGGAGGCCCAGTCCCGTTCCAAGTGAGCTTGGCGATCGCAGCCACAGGTCCCGCATACCTAGGTTTTCCTGCCGGTTCCCACTTGGGTGAGGCTCATTCGAGTGTGTGGAGAGTGGCCTTGAGCATGGTGGCAGTTGGGTTCTGGAGGTTTTCTGCTGCCAGGGTTCTACTTGGGGCTGTGCTCGGGAGTCACTCCCGGGGGGTGCTCGGGAAAACTTGGTACTGGGATTTTGCATCCAGGACTCCTGCCTGTGAAGCCAGCGTTTCTTCAAGTCCACAGACCTGTCCTTCAGGGGCAGCTGGGTCTGCTGCCTTCTCCTCTGCACCCCATACCTCTGAACCTCATACTTCCCCCAGAGCCAGTGGTGCGGGAGGAAGGATGGGGCTGCTGGGGTCGGGAGTCCGGCTGGCAGAAAGTTTGGGCTCTGGGTGGGGGAGCAGGGCCACCATCTCTTTGTCGATGACCCTGGCCTTTCCACGTGGACCCTGGGCCCACTCGTGCAGGCGGCTGTAGAGGGGGATACCCAGCTTCTCCTGGAACAGGTAACTGCCAGTGATCTTGTCCCACTGTAGTTTCAGGTGGGTGACTTTTGCGGGGAACTTGGCCACCAGCTCCTCGTCCTCCTTGTTGAGCGCCACGAACCCGAAGAAGCGCTTCACGTTATTGGCCGCCATCACGAGCGAGCGCACCTCAGCTGTGCGTTCGAAGAGCTGCTCCTCGTTGGCAAGGTAGCGTGTCAAGTAGTCCTCCTGGCGGTAGCCGAATTTCGAGCAGCAGGACTGGAAGAACTTGATCAGCAACAGCAGGCTGGCCATCGAGAAGATGAACAGCACCCTAAGTGCTGAGTCACAGACGGCCAGTCAGAGAAAGGGTGAGCTGAGGGGGTCCAGAGCGGCTGGGGTGGGGCTGACCCTCAGCACCCACAGCCCGCTGGCTCTGCATCTGCAAATTCTGCATCTGAAGGAGAAACCAGTGTTCCCAAGCGGCACTTGCTCTGTGCTTCAATTGGGCAGATTCCTGCTGCCTTCCCCTCCTCCCCAGGGCCTCCCTATTCTCCACATCTCAGCCCACCCAATCTGACTCAGATGGCCAGGCTCAGCGTCATGCCACCTCCCAGGGACCCTCTGGGAGCTCCTGCATGCCTGCTTCCTCCTCACCCTCTACCTTGCTGGAAAATGGCCTCATGCTGTTCTCAAAGGCTCCCTGGGGTGGGTGTCGCTCCATTTTTGGCCCTGTGCAGCTGTGAGTAATGGCACCCCATTCCCTTGTCTCCATACCCATCTCCTGGGCTGCTCACACCCTCCCCTCTACTATAGCTTTGTGTGTGTGTGTGTGTGTGTGTGTGTGTGTGTGTGTGTGTGTGTTGAGAGCAAGGTCACTGGTAATACTTCAGCCAACCTGGCTCACAGGCCTTAGGGCCTGAGGCATGTGGTGCTGTCCGAACCCTGTGGGGCTCGGGGTGAACAGGCTTCCCTGGTGATGCGTGGACCCCATCCAGTGATGGTCAGGGAGCCTCCAGACCTGTACCTGGCAGTTCTCGGGGACTGTGTGGTGCCAGATTGAACCCTATGGGCTAGGTGCATGCCAGGCTTGCACCTTAGCGCAGTAGCGTCCCCAGCCCCAACTGTTGTTTGCCATGTCCCGAGACTAGGTCAGTGCCTCCTTGCCACTTCCCTGCCTCCTCTCTGCCCCTTCAGCCCTCACCAGGATGCTTCCTTCACTCTGCCCAGATCCCTCTGCCCCCTCGGAGCGAAGCCAAGACTCATGGTAGGAGGGAGCAGGCGATGGATTTCTCAGAAGCAACGGGATCAAGATGGGATCTAAAGCAGCGGATTTCGCCACAGAGCTGTGCGGGTCGGCAGGTGGAGAGAGTTGGAAGCCTCAGTTCTTGCTGCCCAGGTTCTTACTGCCTGACCAGGGCCCAGGTGCCAGGGAGAGTGGGCGGGTGTGAGAGGCTGGAGACCGCTGCTCCAAAGCAGCACCATCACCGGCCCTACAGCAGCCCAAGGCAGAGGGCAGGGCCGGTGATGGTGCTTTTTGGAGCACAACCCAGTTGGCACAGGTTGGTGGTCCAGGATAGAGAGGCATCAACAGGAACTGAAGGCTGTGGTGAGCTGCAAGAACACTCCCCCAAACACTGCCCTTGACAAGACCCTAACAACAGACTCATTTTGTTTTGTTTCCTCTTTTTGTTTTGGATCACACCCGTGGTGCTCTGGGTACCATATGGGATGCCGGGGATCAAATTAAGGCTGCCATGTGCAAGGCAAACACCCTCATTGCTGTACGATCACTCTGCCCCTTGCAACAGACTCTTATCTGCATGGAAAACCTCAAGTCGGGGCAGTTTGTGGGAACTTTGCGAGAGCAAGTAGGGGCCTCCCAGTCCGGCCTGCTGCATCCCAGCTGGAATGTGTGATTCCTTTCTTTGACCTTGGGGTCAGCTCTCTCCCCTTTGCACCTGTTCCCCTTGAACGCCGGACTGTTTCTCTCCCTCTTCCTGTCTCCCCCTTCCCTAACTAAGACGAACGCTAGTTAAGTTTTAAGCATTTGTGAGTTCTATTGGGTTGGACCAAAACCCAAAACATCAAAATTCTTATCGGGAGGGGCTAGAAAATGACTGGAATATGACTTAGCAATAGAGCACTTTCCTTGCAAGTGTGTGTCTGGGTTCCACCCCCAGCACTGCAAAAATGAACACAACTCTTCTATTTGAAACTGGAAATGATTCTTATCACACCAAGAATCATGTCTGTCACTGATTACGGGACCCAGGTTTGGAGTTTTCCTGAGGATCATTTCCCGCCTGGGCACTGAGCTCCCCCAACCCTCTCCCACCCGTCCACATACATACCTCGCAGGGAAAGGGATGAGGATCAATCAGCAGAGCCTTACCTGAGACTCATAGTTCAGCCTCCGGCTCACCTCCTCCCGGAAGTCGGACAGGTTGGCAGGGCCCTCCCTGCAAGGGAACCTGGCCAGGACCCACGTGGCATGGGAGAGAGGAAAGCTCTCTTCCCCAGCCATGAGCGAGGACGGGTCCACGAACTCACTGAATGCGCAGACATAAGCCTCCCCGCGCAGCAGGGAGATGACCAACCAGGTGACTGGGGCCACGAGAGCACGGACTAGGATGGACTTTAGGAGGAGGAAGGTTGTGATGATTGAGCATTTCTTGGTCTTGTGGCACCGCCACTCGGCCACCAGGTTCCTGGTTTGGTTGTTGAGGATGATGCTGATGAAGAAGAACACCAAGGCGGGCCCCCCGATGGTCATCAGCCCGTACTGGAAGTTCAACCCTGGTGTGCATGGACAGTGGAAGGCAAACAAGGAGAATAGCTCCTGGCCACTCGTAGTGACCAGGGCCACTAGCCCACTTAAGCTCACCAAATCATTACTCTTGAACAAGAATGACAGGAAGCGGACGCTGGGGTTAGCCATGGTGTCAGGGCAAGGGCTGCACTAGGACGAGGTGCAGGCTGGCGGGCACTTGGCAGCACGGCTGGGCTGGGCTCTCCTGTTCTCGGTGGTGGCTGCTGGGCACCTCCTGTAGGAAAGCAGGAGGCAGGAGCATGTCTACTCACTGGCTGTCAGGCCCACAATTTACCTCCGGGAGCCATCTGAGCGCGTCAACAGCCCTGGCCCAGTGACAAAGCAGCAAGTCCCAGAAGGAACAACAGTGCTGGAGACCTCTCTGGGCCCCATACCGAGCCAATTTCACCGGGACACCCCAGACGGAGCTTGTGTTCTCTCCCCGCCTATTCCATATGGAAACCCGGTGACCAAAAGCTTCCACAAGCAAGGCCCAGGTGTGTGGGTTCCAGGACTACTGCAGGTCGCATGGTGGCAAAGGACCCAGGCCAAACCGCCCGGGTCCCCACCTGCCCAAAGACTGGAAGTCATGTTCACAATTTGCCTCCAGGTGCCATCTTAACGCACCAAGGGACCTGGCCCAGAAAGGCCCCACTGAATCCCAAAATGGATGAGTGCCCTACAGAGATGTCTTTGGAACCCAACCATTTCCAATCTAGAAATTTGCATTTACAATCGCGGCCATGCCAGCTCTCATGATATTCAAAATGAGCAATGGAAAATAATTTATCTAGCTTCTGCCCCTGGCAGACAGGCTTGAATGGTGGTGGGAAATTTCAAGCAAAACATAATGCCCAAAATTAGAGAGAAAGTATTGGGGAAATTGTCTGCCATAGAGGCAGGGTGAGGACTGGGATGTGGGTGATGGAATATGTGCACTGGTGGAGGAATGGGTGTTCCGTCACCATATGGCTGAGTCCCAAATGTGAAAGCTTTGTAACTATCTCACGGTGATACAATTAAAAAAAAAGTAATGTGTACTTTATGCCCAATTCAATCAACTTAATCAATGACTGCAAAAATAGCAGTACTCCCACATTATTTTAAAAAAAAAAAAAGAATGTCTGTTCTGAACCCGAATCCCAGGGTAAGCTCCGAGGGTCGGCCAGAAGGGGCCATTCTCTCCACTGCAAAGAGCAGGAGATACCCCCAGGAAAAACTGGAGCATGGAGTGGGGGATTTGGCTTTGAGGTAGAGCTCAGGCCTCTTCCCTGTGAAGACCTGGGTTCACCCTCCTCCCCTGCAAACTGCAAATGTGGAGGTGCCCTGGCAGGCCTTTTGAGCACGATCTAAGGAGGCTTGGGTGGTAGGTGAAGTGAATTTTCCATCTCTGCTGACCTTATTCTTTGCTCACGCGGAGGGCCTAGGGAACCTTCTATCCCCTGTCTCCCCATCATTCTCTCCATCTCTGTGAGGAAAAAACAAAGTCCTCAGGTTGTGGGGTGGGGGAGAAGACAGGTAGGGTATCACCCAGAGTTGCCCCAAGGGGGTCCCTCTCTATACGTGTGCCCCGTCTGCTTACTGCCAAGACTTCCAGACGGGCCCGGGCTGAACTCACTGTCGGGGAGAGATCGGACCCCTCATCCTGATGGAAGGTGGGTGGTCTGTTTCCCAGAAAAGGGAGTTTGTGGGGATGCCAGAACTGGAGTCTGCCAGACCCTTCACTCCACCTCAGCCCTTCTTGGCTTTCAGGCTCCCGGGAGCACAGACTCTGGGTGCAAAGTGCCCAAGTAGGGTTCCAGAGGCCACTGGTGGGGGAAACTGAGGAGGAACCAGGTCCTCTTCTGAGACCACATCCCAGGCCAGCAAGGGGAACCTCCAGATTTCTCCAAAAAAAAAAACCAGGTGGTTGGAAGGGAGGACCAACCTGACTGCTCTAGGTCAACTGGCGACTTGCTTACCGAGAGCTCCCGGACAGGACAGGTGGCCTGAGTTGTGGAGGCCTTCGGCAGTGTCCTCGCCTTCCTGCTTTGCTTCTGTGCTGGATCTGGGTGGCTTCAGAAAGTTTTGTTCCAGAAAAGAGGAGGGCCAGCCGACTGATGACGTACATGGCGGCCCCGAGTTGGGAAATTTGCAGGGGGGAGGGTGGGGAGCAGGGGTGTGGGAGTGAGGGCAAAACTTTCTTCCTCTCCCTGTCCTTCCTGGCTGATTCATTTTCCCAGGAGATCGCACCCCAGTTCCAGCTAACTCTGGTGTTATTTCAGACCTCAGGTTGAGGGATCTGAGAGATAATACAGCGGGTGGGCACTTGTTTCCTACAGGATCACCCAGGGATTCAACCCCTGGCATCATAATTAGTCCCCTGAGCTGGGTATGATCAGGGTCTTATAACTAAGGTGGTAAAAATCTTAGGTGCAGGGAAAACAAACAAAAACCAGCACTTGAGGGTCTAGGAGACGTGTGTTTGCTGGATGAGCTGAGGGGTAGGTTTTGCAGGAGTCCTAGGGTCCAGTCCTCAGCACTGCTTGCTCTGCATGGTCCCACAGCCATCTCCGGGAGCCACCCCTGAGCACCAAGCTGAAAGTAACCCCTGAGCACAACTGGAGCGGCCATTGCTCCCAAAAAAAAACAAACCAAAAGTTGAACCCAAATCTCAGGAGTGCTGGGTGGGAACTTCAGAATGTGGGACCCTGGGCCAGGAGGGAGTTGGTGGGTGGATTTGGAGCAGGGTGGTTTTTTTTTTCTTCCCACATCCAACTGACTCCTTGCCTTTTTTTTTTCTCTCAAGGATCATCCCTGGCCTATGTGGTGGCCGGATCAAACCCAGGTCAGCCATATGCAAGACAAGAGGTCAGCCATATGCAAGACCTGCTGTACTATCTCTCCAGCAACTGTTTATATTTTTTACCTGGCGATGCACAGGGGTTACCCCTGGCTCATGCACTCAGGAATTACTCCTGGAGGTTCTCAGGGGACCATCTGGGATGCTGGGAATCGAACCTGGGTCGGCGGCATGCAAGGCAAACACCCTACCCACTGTGCTATTGCACCAGGCCCCAGTGTTTATTTTTTTTTTCTTCTTTTTTTTTTATTAGTGAAACACAATGAGGTACAGTTGTAGATTTACAATTTTTTGTGCTTGGGGTTTGATTATACAATGGGATACCCATCCCTCGACCAGTGCCCCTTTTCTACCACCATGGATAATATCCCCCCCACCCCCATTCCGTCCGTCCCCCCCTGCCTCTGTGGCAGGGCAATCCCCTGTGTTCTCTCTCTCCTTTTGGGTGTTGTGGTCTGCAAAAAAGGCATTGAGTGGCAAACATGTTCAGTCCATAGTCTACTTTTGACATGCATCTCCCCTCCTGGGAGGATCCTCCAAACACCCTTTATTTGGTGCTTCCTTCTCTATCTGAGCTGCCCTTTCCTCTAGAATGCCTGGCTGGCCACTAAGCTATGGAGTAATCCTCCTGGTGCTGATCTCAGCTATTCTTGGGTATTAATCTCATATTTTGTTACTTTATATCCCCCAGATGAATGCAATCTTTCTATGTCTATCCCTCTCTTTCTGACTCATTTCGCTTAGCATGATACTTTCCATGTTGTACCACTTGTATGTAAATTTCATGACTTCATCTTTTCTAACAGCTACATAGTACTCATTGTGTAGATGTACCAAAGTTTCTTTACCAGTCATCTGTTCTTGGGTATTCAGGTTTCTTCCAGTTTCTGCCTATTGTAAAGAGTGCTGCAATGAACAAACAAGTGCAGATGTCACTTCGACTACACATTTTTGCCTCTCTGGGATATATTCCCAGGAGTGGTATTGCTGGGTCAAATGGGAGCTCAATTTCTAATTTTTTGAGAATCGTCCATACTGTTTTCCAGAAGGGCTGAACCAGTCGACATTCCCACCAACAGTGAAGGAGTGTCCCTTTCTCACCACATCCGCGCCAGCATCTTTGCTTTTGTTCTTTTGAATGTGGGCCAGTCTCTGAGGTGTGAGATGGTATCTCATTGTGGTTTTGATCTGCATCTCCCTGATGATTAATGATGTAGAGCATTTTCTCATGTGCTTTTTTACCATTCGGATTTCTTCTTTGAGAAAGTTTCTGTTCATTTCATTGCCCCATTTTTGGATGGGGTTGGATGTTTTCTTCTTGTGGAGTTCAACCAGTATTTTGTATATCCTTGTTATCAACCACTTGTCAGATGTGTATTCGGTGAATATCCTTTCCCATTCTGTAGACTGTCTTTGTATTTTGGTCACTGTTTCTTTGGAGATGCAGAAGCTTCTTCGTTTAAGATAGTCCCATTTATCTATCTCTGTTTTCACTTGCTCGGCCAGTGGTGTGGCATCTTTGAAGATACCATTAGCTTCAGTGTCATGGAGGGTTTTGCCAACTTTGTCTTCAATGTACCTTATGGTTTCTGGTCTGATGTTGAGGTCTTTAATCCATTTTGATCTTACTTTTGTACATGGTGTTAGGCAGAGTTCTGAGCCCATTTTTTTTGCATGTAGCCGTCCAGTGATGCCAGCACAATTTGTTAAAGAGGCTTTCCTTACTCCACTTCACATTACTTGCACCTTTATCAAAGATTAGATGATCATATGATTGAGGGGAGATGTCAGTGTATTCGACCCTGTTCCATTGGTCTGCAGTTCTGCCTTTGTTCCAGTACCATGCTCCCAGTGTTTATTTTTAAGATCCTACGGAATACAATTCCAGATTCTGTCTCCTTCCCTTTGAACATAATGCTGAGGGACAGAGCAGACCTTTCATCTCCACTTCCAGAGACTCGCTCAGGGGGGGGCTCATCGATCTCTGTAAGTCTTTGGGCTCTGGGGCTTGGCCTCAGCTCTGCCTGACGCCATCATGCCTTTTCTGTACTTTGGTGCCCCCAATTCCAGGAGGATGACTTTTCCCCCTGGGGGCTCCTTGGCCCACCCCACTTCCACACACCAACAGACTGCTGACTTCTATTTGCTTCTCCCTTGGAGTGTGGCGCTATCGGGGATCAAGCCCAGGGTCTCCTTGTACTTCTCCTGGTATTTCTGCATTTTTATTTTTGTTTCTGGGCCATAAGGGCTACTGCAGCACAGCGCTCTGGACATGCTCCAGCAAACGCTCAAGAGACGGGGTGGGGGGGGTGGGCCCCTGGCCTGTTCAGGCCTCTGAGCTGTCTCCTCAGTGTTCTGAGCCCTCCCCTAAGCACGGGCTCCCCGCCCTGGCAGAGCCCTCCACCCTCCGTCCCATCCCACATCAGATAATAGGGACCCCCCTTCTCCCAGTAATTAAAGGAAGGAGTTGGGGGTCTCAGAAGGGGAACGGTGGGATGGGGGCGGGTACACAGAAGGAAGCACGGGAATCGTCAAACTAACCTGCATGTATGAGGTTCCGGGGTCAACCCTAACACATCTAAAGAAAAACAAGCACAACACTGCCACGGAGCGACTTGGGTTCACTGATGAGCAAGACTGGGGTTTCAAGGAGATTAGAAATGTGGGACCCTGGGCCAGGAGGGAGTTGGTGGGTGGCGGGAGGGGGACAGTCAGCAGGCATGGCTCGGGGCTTCCTTCCTCTGGGGTGGAGGAAGCCCCTCTTCTCCCTCAAGTTCATCCCTCAGGACAGCTTGAGCTTCTGGGTCCTCCCGTAGGTGGGTAGAGAGAGAGAGGAGTGAATGGTGCCCCTCAGAGGGGAGTGCGGCACCCTGTCCTCGGCCCTCTGACTGGAGGGGAAACTGAGGCTCAGGAAACACCCTGGGGACACAGTTTGAAGCCATAGAGCCTATGCTGAATCATCTGGCTCGTCCTGGCACTGAAACTCCGTCTGAGCAACCTCCCTCCACACACCCCAACTCGGAGCCTCTGAGTTAGAGCCCCTTTCCCCTGCAGGATCATGAGGAAAGGGGGCTATTTGACTTCTGATCCTTTTGTTTGTTTGGTTTTGGGGTCACAGCAGGCTGTGCTTAGGGATCACTCCTGGCAGGACTCAGAGGACCTCTGTGGTGCCAGGGATTTAACCCGGATTGACAGTGTAAAGGGTAATTGTCTTATCTGATCTACTCTCCTGGCCTATAGCTTCTGTTTCTATGGGGTCAAGCCCTATGGAGTCAGGGGTGTTAGGGGGGCTTTGAAGGAACCCCCATGAGTGGTCTGAATGTGCCCCCTATTCATAATTTCGCTCTGACCACCCCTAACGGTGCTCAGCTGTTATGAGTGCAGGACCTGCACCTCTCAAGGCCATGGCAACAGTCTGCCGCCTCTGGGTTGGACAGGAGAGGCAATCAGGGTCAGGGGCCCTGGGGCAGAGGCTGCTCTCTGGGCCTGGTGCTGTGGCCCCACGTGGCCTTCCTGGGGCCACACTTTGGCTTCTCCTGAGTGCCCCTGAATCGGGCACTTGGCCTCACCACCTGTCACCCCTGAGGTTCTGAGTTGGTTCATCAGGTCTGCTGTGAGCTGCCAGCTTCTCTCGAGGCCCAGTAGAGCACGGGGTTCCTGTTCCAGATACACCCCCAGCTCCCTGAGCAGAGCCGAGGGCGTGGGGCTTCACCAACACTGGGGTGGTGCAGACACTGCAGTCAGCAGGTTCTATGAGATGGTGAGCTGGGGAGGAAGGGTCTGGGAGCCGGCAGTGCACACTGGTCTTCCCAGCCACGCCTGGGTCATTCTTGCTAATACTGCTTTTGGCACCAGCGGCCCAGAAGCCTCCTCAGTGAGGGTCTGGACAGGTCCTTTCATGGACATGGGGGGGGCGATGCCCATGCCAGGGGGTCTGGGGAGCCTGCACCCACGTGCCCGCCTCTTTCCCGGCCGGGCTCACACCTTGCTGATGTAGGTGGCCACCTCCCTGCGGGGAGCCCGGGGACCGCCCGCAACCTAGGCGTTGCCCATTAGTGGCTCGTCCTGGCCCAGGCTCAGCGGTGGTTTGCATTTGTGCCAGCTGGTGAGCAGCCTGTTGACGGCGCCCTGGTCCGTGATGCCCCGTAGCTTCTCCCTCTCCTCCTTGGCCCCGTCGGGGCTGGCTGGGCCGCCACCGCTGCTGGGCTGGCAGGGGCCAGCGCCCCGTGGGAGTGACCCAGCTCCAAGTCGTGGGTCATGGCCTCGAAGAGGCTGCAGGCTCTTTCCATGGCCTCGAGAGGTGCAGGTCCTGCCCTCATAACAGCTGAGCACCGTTAGGGGTGGTCAGAGCTAAATTATGAATAGGGGGCACATTCAGATCACTCATGGGGGTTCCATCAAAGCCCCCCTAACACCCCTGACTCCATTGGCGAAGGCCTTGGCATGCTCCATGCACGTCTCATCAAAGAGCTTTCGCTCGATGTCGATGTAGTGGGACCAGTACTTGCTCTTGAGGAAGGCCGCCTGTGTGAAGCAGGGCCGCATGGAGCGCATGGCGAAGACCAGCAGCGTGGTCAGCAGCACGAAGGACCAGCCCAGGGCCTGCGGGAGGGGGACAGCCAGCAGGCATGGCTCGGGGCTACTCCCCAGCCCTGGTCTGTGCAGATGTGGCCCTGTGGGCCCAGAGGACTAGGCGGGCCCCAAACTTCTATCGGGCTTCGTCCTCTCCTCTGTCTGACAGGCCTGAATGGACCCGCGTTTTCTTATTAGCCGGGAATCTAATTTATATGTGAAAATTTCTAGAACTCACACGGAAGTTTGTGAACTTCCTGTAACTGTATCTCACAGTGATCCATTAAAAAGATTTAAAACTTAAACTCAATTAAAAGAAAATTTCTGGAGTTCAGATGAAACCAACTAATCTTAAGTAGAATTTGTTTTTTTGTCTTTGAGTCACACCCAGCAGTGGTCAGGGCTAGCTCCTGATTTCTGCCCTCAGGGATCAATCCTGGCAGGCTCTGGGGACCATGTGAGGTGTTGGGGATTGAGCCTGGGTCAGTTTGTTTTTTTTAAATTTTTATTAGTGAAACACCATGAGGTACAGTTGTAGATTTACAAATTTTTGTGCTTGGGTTTCAATTATACAATGATCTAACACCCATCCCTCCACCAGTGCCCATTTTCCACCACCACAGATCCCAGTATCCCTCCCACCCCCACTCCCCAATCCCACTCTGCCTCTGTGGCAGAGCATTCCCTTTTGTTCTCTCTCTCCTTTTGGGTGTTGTGGTTTGCAAAAGAGGCATTGAGTGGCAATCATGTTTGGTCTATAGTCTACTTTCAGCATGCTTCTCCCATCCTGGGAGTATCCTCCCAACACCCTTTATTTGGTGCTCCTTTCTCTATCTGAGCTTCCTTTTCCCTAGAATGTGTGGCTGGCCTCCAAGCCATGCAGCAAAACTCTTGGTACTAATCTCGGCCACTCTTGGGTGTTAGTCTCCTACTTTGTTACTTTATGTTTGAGCCTGGGTCAGTTTTGTGCAAGGAAAGCACTCTATCCATTGTACAGTCATTCCCACCCCTCAGATGGGATTTGTAAGTCAACCCACTGAAATGTGTGAGGGGCCAGGCAGCCTTCCGGGCACTGTTCACTGGTGCTTTCTGGGTCTAATGCCAGGAGGACCTGGGGGACCCCCATGAGAGACGAAGTGCTAGCTGCTCAGGAAAGCAGAGTTTGGGGTGCACCCTCAGACTGTGGGGTTCATGTGGGGTGTCTGGATGCTGGTGCAGGCAACACAGGAGAGAGAGGGGGGTCTGGCTTTGACTCTCACATTGCAAACATGCTCTTCAAGCTCCTGCAGGCAGGTCCAGTCCCCCACATCCTCCTCTGACACCCCCAGGTTCCTGTCCTCCCATTCATGAGGGGCTGAGAGGAAGGGGGGTCAGAGGGAGAGGATGTGGGAGGGGGCTGGGGAGGCTGAGCCTGGATTTCCCCTCGGTGGACCCCTTGCCCTTGCATTGATGGTGCCACAATATCTAGGCCTTCCCTGGAGGGGCCCTCAGGCCCTCAGTGCCCACCCCCACCCCCCAAGCAGCGAGGCACCAGCTGGGGGCATTTGCCAGGGAAATGTTCCCAAACAGCCCAGCCACCCATGTGCCTCTCCGCCAGGCCCAGGAGGGGATAGAATGCAAATTCCTGGCTCAAGAGTGCGCATGTGCTGCGGGCTCGGCTGGGCCCCAGGACAGACAGCCTGCCTTGGATAGAGGCCGCCTGGCATGTGTCCTGGAGGACACAAGCCCAGGGGAGACAGCCCGGCTCTCAGCAGCTGGACTCTGGGCCAGCGAGTTGGTCCAGAGAAGTTATCCTGGGCCAGAGAGATAGTACAGCAGGTTGGGTGCTTGCCTTGAACATGGCCAGCCCAGATTCTATCCCCAGCCTCCCATTTGGACTCCTGAGCAGCTCTAGGAGTGATCCCTGAGCGCAGAGTGAGGAGTAACCTCTGAGCATTGTCAGGTGTGGCCCCCCAAACAAACAAACAAGACACACACACACATAAAAAAAGAAAGAAGGTAGAAAGAAAGAAAACAAAATTACCTTGCATGCGTGAGACCCCTAGCACCACACACACACACACACACACACACACACACACACACACACCACAGAGCCTCAGCTGGGAAAATGAGCCTGTGTCCCTCAGAGCTCCATCTGTGGGAAACTATGCCCAAGGAGGCTCCACAGACGTACAAATGACAGATGTCCATGTTCTGTGGCGGTCCTATGCAATGCTCAGGACCCCAGGAGCCTTTCTCAGCAGTACTTGGCGAATCGGGACTGAAAGTTTAATGCTCTAGGCCCAGAGATACTGCTCAGGCTGGGGGTTCCCAGCACCACCCCAGAAGTCTTTGGGGAGAACACATCGTGTTGAAATTTGAACTCAGGTCCCTGCATGTAGAAGCCTTGACCGCGGGGCTCTCTCCCTGCACTGGGCAGGGTAGGGACTTAGACCCCCTCCAGAGCTCAGGGGGACCCAGGCCCCGGCACCCCCTCAACTGGGAGATGCAACGTAGATAGCGCATGGCCACCTCTCGCGCCAACAGCCAGTCCACGTCGTAGATCTCGGGGCAGGGCACCCTGGCCAGCAGGCGGGCGAGCTCGGGTGTGGGCAGGCCTGGGGCCAGGCTGCCATTGCCTAGTGTAGTCACGGGCACGGCAGTGCAGAAGGCACAGAGGAAGCACTTGCCGTTGAGCAGGGTGAAGGCCACCCAGACGACGGGCGCGATGAGGGCGCGCTGGGCCATGGAGCAGAACATGTAGCGCAACACGGCGGGGTCCTTGGCGCGACGGCCCGGTGGTCGCTTCCACTCCTCGGCCAACATGGACACATTGTTGTTGAGCACCAGGCCCAGCAGGAAGAGCACCAGCGGTGGGGCCAGCAGGATGCCCGCGCTGTAGGCCGCATTGTAGCCCGGCAGGCAGGGGCAGTTGAAGTCAAAGGCAGAGTATATCTGGGCGCTGGCCAGGACCAGGATGCCGCAGATGCCGTTCATGAAGGACTCCTGGTTAGACTGCAAGAACTGGAAGATCATCTGGAACTTGTCCATAGTGGTCCCCTGCCACCCACCTCGGCGCTGGCCCTGCGAGCAGTCCCCTGGGCATCCACCGCATGGCGGAGACGGGTGGCTTGGGGCCGGGGCGGGAGCGTCTGTGAGATTCTGGCGGGAGGGTGGCATGGGGGTGCCCAGGGCGTGGCCCTCCCTGTCCCAGCCTCTGGCTGCTTTCTCTCCCTCTGCTGCTGCCTCCGGCCAGGAAGCCTCAGGCCACGCCTGGTGGGGAGCAATTCAGGGGGGTTGGCGGGCGTGTGTGGAAGGAGACGCTGGCACAGCTCCAGCGGGAGCGAGTGAAGCAGCCTGCTCTGCTGTCCGTGGGTCTCAGGGGCTCCTGCCAGGTCACACAGTCTCGGTGTGCTGGTGGGGTGCTGGTTGTGAGGGTGGCTGGGCTCGGAGTGATAATGGTGGTGGCGGGGGGCGGGGTACTGATGGTGGGAAGATGGTGCTGGCAGTGGGGGTGAGGATCGAGGTGATGGTGGGGCTGGTGGAGGTGGTGGGATGGTGTGTTGCTGTTGGGGATGGAACTGGTGGTGATGGGGATGGAGATGGAGGTGAGGATGGAGATGGAGGTGAGGATGGAGATGGAGGTGAGGACGGAGATGGAGGTGCGGATGGAGATGGAGGTGAGGATGGAGATGGAGGTGAGGATGGCGATGGTGATGAAGAAGGTGCTGGAGGTGGGGATGGAGCTGGAGGTGGTGGGAATGGTCCTCTTTGTGGAAGGGATGGTGGTGGTGGAGATGGAGCCATGGAGAAGGCAAAAATGGTGGTGGTGGCCCTGAGCACAGTAAGGATCGACGTGGAGGTAGAGAGACTGAGAATGAGACATGCATAGAGGAAAAGCCCAGGCTCTGGAGTCAGAGATTTCGAACCTGGGAGGAGCCTCTCTGCCCAGCGCCCACACAGCTACTGCTGGCTCCATTCTCGCCTCGATGGCCCCAGACCAAAAGCTAAGGCGGTGGGGCTGTGGGTTCCACACCTGGACCCTGGGCTTCTGGCATCTCTACAGACGCAGACCAGGACCCGGGCAGGGGTGATGGGCAGATGAAAGAGGGAAGAGTGAAAGGGCTGCGGGGTTGGGGTTAAAGGGACAGCATGCCTGAAAAGCAGGTCAGATCTGCGTCTCTGGGCCGTCCTGGACAAGATCCCAGGCGAGATCCGAGACGAGATCCCAGATGAGATCCTGGGTGAGATTGCAGACGAGGTCCTGGAGGGAGCTTCCCTCGTGGGGCTGTGTGCGGTGCAGCATGTTTGGCGGGCACGTGCCCACCTTGAGGGTCAAGTCTGTGCTGCTGAGAAAACAGTCAGGGGCTATGCACCCCATGTAGGGCCAGTGCCAGCCCTGACGGGGTATGACCCTGTGGACAGTGCTGAGATGGGTGGACGGACTTGGGGAGAGACACACAAGGTGGGAGGTAGAGAAACGGGTTTGGATCTAGCTAGGTGGCAGCTGGGCTTGAGGGCAGGGCAGGGAGCGGTTCTGCTCTTTCTCCCCTGTCCTGGTCTGGGTGGAAAGCTCAGCGCGGAGCTGGGAGGACAGTTGTCCCCCTTGGCCTGCAACAGGCTAAAGGCTCCAGGGGTCCTAAGGCTGGTGACTGCTGGAGGACTTTGTTGGGGGCTCCCCAGGAGAGTGGGAGAAGTGTCCAACCACAGAGATGGCCGCCCTGGACATCTGTGGCAGCGCCATGCATCTGACACGGGACTAAACCACGGGGAGAGGCTGGCACTCAGGGAAGGGGCAGTGCTCAGAGACACCCACATGGGCTAAGGGGCACCAGCACTGGCCTCAGACGTTTGCTGCGATTTCTAGCGTCAACATGATTTGTCAATAACAGCAACAGGAACAGGAAGATGGTACGGGGATTAGACACTTGCTTTGCATCTGGCTGACCCAGGGTCAATCACTGTCACCAAGCATGGTTCCCTAAGCACTCTACCAGGAAGCACTCCTGAGCAGCTAGGAATAGCTCTGAGCACTGCCCCAGTCACTATCCACCCCCCCACAAATCAATAAAGTAAAATGATAGAAGTGGTTGAATTGTATTATTCTGAGATTCATGAGGACTTTATTACAGTTATTGAATGAAAAGGGTGAGCCCTAGAATCGTGTGTGTGTGTGTGTGTGTGTGTGAGAGAGAGAGAGAGAGAGAGAGAGAGAGTGTGTGTGTGTGTGTGTGGTGCGTGTGTGGTGCTGGGGTGTGAACTCCAAGCCTCATACCAGCGAGCCCTGAGTTCTGCTTCTGAGCCCATCACAACTTGCCCGTTAACTTTCGTGCTGTTGTTTTCTTTCCTTCCTTCCTTCCTTCCTTCCTTCCTTCCTTCCTTCCTTCCTTCCTTCCTTCCTTCCGTCCTTTGTGGTGAGGGGGCGTACACCCAGCGATGCTCAGGGCTTTCTCCTGGCTCTGCACTCAGGAATCCCTCCTGGCGGTGCTCATCCCTTATGGAAGGAATGCCAGTTCTGCCACGTGGCAGGCAAGTGTCCTACTCATTGTACTATCACTCCAGTCCAATTCTTCAGGCACTTTTAAATCTTGAATCAGTGGTAAAAAATAGTTTCAGGGGCTGGAGCAATAGCACAGCGAGTAGGGCGTTTGCCTTGCACTAGGCTGACCTGGGTTTGATTCCCAGCATCCCATATGGTCCCCTGAGCACCACCAGGGGTAACTCCTAAATGTAGAGCCAGGAGTAATCCCTGTGCATTGCTGGGTGTGACTCAAAAAGCAAAGAAAAAAAAGTTTCAAATGTCTCACTGACTTGGTTTCACACTGAATAGTTGAAGAACATTTCTTCACCCCCAGAACGTCCTCCTCATTGTTCTGTGGGGATGTTCTCATGGGAGGCTGAATATATGGGAGTTAGGGAGGTTGACCTTTAGGACCTGAGCAGGGTACCCATGTGCCCTGGCCAGCTTCCAGAGGATCCCCTGCCTCTGGCCCCAGGCACTGCTCTGCTCCAGCCTCTGCTCCAACGCCATAGCTCTGAGTCTGGCCTCCTACCTGTATTAGTATGTTTTTTGGGGGAAATCATACTCGGTAGTGCTCTGGGGGCTATTCCCGGCTCTGTGCTCAGGAGTGACCCCTGGCAGTGCTTAGGGCACCAGGTCTGGTGCTGGGAACCAAACAGGTCAGTTGCATGCATGCAAGGCAAATAAGTGCCTTAGTCCCCGTACGAGCTCTCCAGAACCTCCAAGGTTCTCTTTAGGACGGTTGGGATTCCTGGGGTTCCCCCGGGAGCAGCCAGGAGTGACTCCCCACTGCCACGGCCTTAATCAAGTCATAAAAGCATAGAGCTTCTGTTGCAGGTAAGAGTCGTGAGTTCTGGTTCTGGAGATCAGGAGGATTCGGGGTCCCCTTCTCCCTTCTCCCGGGGGTCTTGGCCTGCCTGATTCTGTCCTCTCCAGCATCTCCAAGGCCCTGCTGCATGTGGGCAGAAAACAGGGAGCCACACAGTCACTCGGATGCTGGGGGGCCCCTTGACTCCCAGAAGCCAAGCAAGCCAGGAAAAGCAGTATGCAAAGGGGGCCCCCGGGGAGCGGCCAGACCCGCAGGGAAATGCCCTATTTGCCTGGATGAGCCTGGGTGGGCGGCCCACCTGCAGCTCTGGGCGCACCCCCAGATCCACGTGGTGGCAGAGGCAGCGGTCATCAGCAAGATGGGCTGCCAGGCTGCATAAACATTTGCCTTAGTAGGATCTGGCAGCTGCCCTCTGTTCCCTGGACACCCGGCGGGGGGGAGGGCCTGATTACTGGGGCACTGAGCAGCAATGCCCCCAATATTCCCCACACCCCGTACCACTCCAGCCTCTGCTGCAGGCTTAGTGGGACCAGGACTGAGTCTGGCTCAGAAGCCCACCCCCTCTCTCGCAGCGTTCCCTGCTCTTTCTCTGCCCACCCCTGGGGCCTTGGTGCCCACCGTCAGGTCAGCTCGAACCTCCACGGCCAGGGGCACATGCGTGTGGGGAGAGCAAATGCGGAGAGTAGGAACAAGCTCTCTTGGCCCTGGCTCTGGATGACACTCGGGGTTCCCGAGCATGTCTCCCCCTTTGTCTCTCTCACTCCCCCTCCCCCCCCCACCAAATCCATTCTCTCCTGGTGCTTCCTGGAGCCACTTCCTCATAACTGGGAGACCCTCACTTCTGTCTCAGCACCTAGACTCTGCCGAGGATGGGGCACCTCTGTCGGCAGGGCCGCCAGGGTCACTGATGTGCCTCAGTCCCAAGTGCAGTGACCTGGTTCCCCTCCTGGGCCGGGCAGTAGAGGTGGAAGGAGGGATGATGGCCGAGAGACCTGGAGTTCTGAAAGCATGTCCTCTGGGGTCTGCAGAGGGTGGGATGCCTTTGAGGGGTGTCCAGGGCACGGGGTCTGCTGTCACAGAGCTCAGTGGTCTTTCCATGGGCCCTGGAGTGGCACCTCAGCCCTGGGGCAGGACCCTTCACTGGTGTCAGGTGGGACTGCACCTTCCTCCCCGACCTGGCTCCCCGCTGGGCTGTGAGGGGCAGTGAGGGTTCCCTCCAGGCGGGCCAGCAATCCTCCGGGTGCATTTGGAAATCCGTCTGCCCCTCTGCGGCCTGTTCCCTCCATGACTGTGGCTCAGTGGCCCTGTCTCCTTCCCCTTCCTCTCTCTCCACTTGTCCAAACTCTGTCCCGGACCAGGGATGAGCTCAGTGGGAGGACTTGGGAGTATGAGGCCTTGAGTTCAGGCCCCGACACTGACCCCAGAGACGGCTGCTCTACTCTGTGGGCTTCCTGTTGACACAGCTACGGGGGCTGTCTCAGCACAGTGCAGACAAGCGCCTTCCGGCTCTGTCACTGGAGTGTGCGGCCACCACCAGGTGTGCAAACCTCAGGGAGCTCCTGTTCTCACACCTCTGGTGAACAGGGTGCAAGACCACGGCCAAGTGGAGGGTTCCCAGGCATTGCAAAAACACCCTCAACTTGGAAAGAGTGTCCAGCGGGGAGAGTGCTTGCCTTGCACGCGGCTAACCTGGGTTCGATT